TTTTGATTAGACCAAAGCTTAAGAAAACTCCTTATGAACTCTTTTATGGAAAAACTCCTTTTATTGGTTATTTTCATATCTTTGGGTGCAAATGTTTTATTTTAAATACAAAAGATCACCATGATAAATTTGATTCCAAAATTGATGTTGGTATTTTCTTAGGTTATGCACCTCGAAGTAAGGCTTATAGGGTCTTCAATAAACGAAGTCTCGTTGTTGAAGAATCTATAAACGTTACTTTTGATGAGACTAATGTTGGTTCTCAAGTTGTTTTACCTAGGAAAGATGATGATGATGATATTGAAGGAGGATTAGACTTTTTACAAATCAATGATACTCCCTTTATAGAAGCTCAAAAGGATGTGGATAGCTCCAATGCTCATGAACAAGTTAAACTTCCTAAAGCTTAGAAATTCGCATCAAACCATCCAAAAGAACAAATAATTGGGAGCCCTTCACAAGGAGTTGTTACTCGCTCAAAAGCTTTGAGTGAGTGTGGTAATGTTGCTTTCTTATCTCAACTAGAACCTAAAAAAATTAATGATGCTTTAAATGATAAATTTTGGGTTTTGGCTATGCATGAAGAACTAAATAATTTTTAAAGAAATGATGTTTGGAAATTAGTTCCTAGACCTAACAATGCTAGTGTTATTGGTACTAAATGGGTTTTTAGAAACAAACTTGATGAACATGGCATTGTCACTAGAAATAAAGCTCGTTTGGTTGCCCAAGGATACAATCAAGAGGAGGGCATAGACTATGATGAAACCTTTGCACCGGTTACAAGGTTGGAATCTATTAGGATGTTTTTGGCATTTGCTAGCTTTAAAATTTTCAAATTATTTCAAATGGATGTTAAAAGTACCTTTTAAAATAGTTTTATAGAAGAGGAAATATATGCTGAGCAACCCCCCGGTTTCATAAATCATGCTTTTCCTAATCATGTTTTCCAGGTTCAAAAAGCTTTATATGGGTTGAAACAAGCTCCTAGAGCTTGGTATGCTCGCCTCTCTAGTTTTCTTGTTGAAAATAGTTTTTCAAAAGGAACAATTAATAACACTCTTTTTGTGAGAAAAAGGAAAAATGATTTTATTTTGGTTCAAATATATGTTGATGATTCATTTTCGGTGCTGCTAATGAATCTTTGTGCAAAGAATTTTCTAAGGTTATGCAAGATCATTTTGAGATGAGTATGATGGGAGAGCTTACATTCTTTCTCGGGCTCCAAGTCAAGCAAACTAAGGATGGGATATTCATTTCTCAAAGCAAGTATGCTAAGGAATTGGTGAAAAAATTTAATTTGGAGAATTCTAAGCATGCGCCTACTCCCATGAGTACAAGTGTTAAGCTTGATGCGAATGAAAGTGGTGAGGACGTGGACCAAAAACTATACCGAGGTATGATAGGTAGTCTTCTTTATCTCACCGCTAGTAGACCCGATATCATGTTTAGTGTGTGTGCATGTGCACGTTTTCAAGCATCTCCTAAAGCATCTCATTTGATTACGGTTAAAAGAATCATTAAGTATGTTAATGGAACTTTTAATCTTGGTTTATTTTATCCAAAAAACACCTCTTTTGATTTATATGGTTTTTGTGATGCTGAAATTGCCGGATGTAAGGTAGATCGCAAGAGTACGAGTGGAACATGCCAATTCTTAGGAAATTCACTTGTTTCTTGGGCATCCAAGAAACAAAATTGTGTTGCATTGTCCACTACGAAAGCGGAATACATTGTCGCCGGCTTATGTTGTGCTCAAGTTTTATGGATGAAACAAAGCTTAGTTGACTATGATTTGAATTTTCAAAATATAAAAATCTTTTGTGATAACACTAGTGCTATAAATATTTTCAAAAATTCAGTTTTGCATTCTAGAACCAAGCATATTGATGTGCGCCATCATTTCTTACGCGATCATGTAGAGAGATAAGATGTATCCCTAGTATTTGTTAACACAAAATCTCAATTAGCGGATATATTTACTAAGCCTCTTTGTGAGGATGATTTTTGTCGCATAAGAAATGGTTTGGGCTTGTGCAATATGTGAAAGCTCTATTTGCTTGCTTGTTTAGTTGCTTTTATGCATGCTTTTCTCTTTACCCCATTTTTTTGATGGTGACAAAGGGGGAGAGAAATCTCCTCATTTGTTGCACATAGATAGGGGGAGCTCATAGATAGGGGGAGCACCTATCTATAAGCTATATTTATTTTTGCTCTTATATAATGGTTGGTTGTCATCATTAAAAAGGGGGAGATTGTTAGCCCTTATGTTTTGATGATGTTTTACAACCATCATTATCGGTACTAATGGCTTATTGAGTACAAATGTAGTGAATTTATATATCAAGCTTGTTAGTGCCACAAATAGAGGATTGAATGAAATATGCGCTACAACGATGATATCCAAAGGAGGAGGAGGCATAGTGATGAAGCAACGTTATTTCAAGAACAACAAATTCAAATAGAAGCTTCATCCAACTCAAGCTATATCAAGACTCAAGAATTGCATTCTATGTGAGGATATTAGCTAGCTTTTATTTTTCTCTTTAGTGCTAGAATGTAGGCAAAGGGTTATTGATTTCACTTGAAGCTATTGGGATATCACACACACGTTTTCATACTTATGTTTTTAAGCGTTTTTCATAAAATACTATTTTCTACAAGTATGAGAACCTATTTGCAAAATTCCTTTTCTAAACAATTTGTTTTTAGTATTAAAAATATTTTACAAAGTTTCACAATTTTCAGAAGTCAAATGAATATTTTACAAATTATTAAAGTGTGTCAAAATCAGTCTTTTAGAATGTATCAGAATACGGTCGGCCGCACCGGTCGACCGCACCTGTGTTCATTCGTCAGTGGGCAGCAGAGAGTTTGTCGGTCGACCGTCGCGGTCGACCGAGAGCTCGAAATTTCCATCGGTCGACCGCACCAGTCGACCGATGGATCGCGGTCGACCGCAAATTTCGTCGGTCGACCGCCAAGATTTTCAAACGGTAATTTCAGTCCTTTTTCAGCGCCGCTCAGTACAGATTTCAGCGACGATTGTTTCTAGATTTTGGGGGATTAAGGGTATGGGTTTAAACAGCTGGTTTCTTCTATTTAAACTCAACCTCTTCTTCTTCCTCAGTGTCCCAGCTTTTGCAAAAACCAGAGACGTTGTTTTTACCGAGCAAAATTTTCAAACCTGTTTTTCTGAGTTTTTGTGTGTTTCACTTCCCAGCTTCAGTGTGCTTCTTCTCTTTGCCATAGGGACGTTGTTTTCTGAGTTTTTGTGTGTTTCACTTCCCAGCTTCAGTGTGCTTCTTCTCTTTGCCATAGGGACGTTGTAAAGAGAGAGTCTTACACCATTTCTACTATCTTGAGAGTGTGATCTTGTGTAGATCAATTGTGAGGGAGTGTGATCTAGTGAGATCATCTGTGTAGTGTGAGATCGTGAGGGGATCGCTGTGTAGACGAAGTTCCGGATTCCAAACCGGGTTGTGTAGTGGATTTCTCCTCGAGAGTGGGGAGTGGGGACGTAGGTCAGCGGACCGAACCTTGTTAACACATCGCGCATCACAGGATAACGATTCCTAACCCTATCTCCTCTATTTTGATTGCATTAGAATATTATGGTTTGCTTGTCTTATTTTTATTGCATAATTATAGCCTCTTGACCCTAATCATCCCCCCTCTAGGGTCCAACAGTTATAATATCTGGATTTCAAACCTCCAGATTGTAAAGCAGAATAAAAAGAATTCACTGTGAAGAGACCTGAGGGATGAAGAGGCCACCGTAGATTGACAGGGCAAGAGATGTCCTTACAGGAGAAAGACTCCAGATGGGAGTGAAGAGAATCTATTTCATTGACCTCGTATTTGAGATGTTTGATCATTTTAGCTATTAATTTAGGACATCTCTTTTTCTTTTTAGAGTTAATTCATTCTACAGTAAAAGAACATATTACAAGCGTAACTATGTACGATAAAGGAGGGGAAAAAACACAACAGTTTTGTTTTTCGTTATTTTGTTAATAATGAAGTCATGCAATTACCTTACTATTTGTTAGACCTAAATTGTCCATCTCATTATTCTAACTTTTATTTTATTTATTACTAGTGTGACTCATCCTCCTCCTCATCCTTGTTATTAGACCTAAATTGTCCAACACTCATTTGCCAAAACCTGAAGTGGGGTGTAAGCTATTTTTTTATTATTTTTTTTATAATTGGTTAGTATTATTTTATTATAATTGGTTGGTATTATTTTATTAGTTATTATACCATTCTCATATCCCGACTTTCCCATGAAAAAGCAGTTTCCACAAAAAGATGAATCTCATAAAGACACCAAACAAAGTTCTTAGTTGCACGAGAGGTCAAAGCTACAGTGGTGCAGAAGCCCAGCCCCATTTCCCTTTCCCGGGTAAATTTAGGAAAACCCCCTCAATTTCTACCAGATTTGTACGAGTCATTCATGAAACTTCAAACTTTTTTAAAAAGCCCTAAAACCATAAAAAGAAATCTCTCCTCGTCTTTTTCCTGTCTGTTCTCTATCCTCTCTTTCGCTAAGAAGCCGCAGAGCAGAACTCGCCTCAAACATTTTGGTGAAACTTGTAAGAAGTCCAGAAGAGTTATCTTATTTTCAAATTTCAGAGGACCTTATGCAAATCATCTTGAAGTTCAGGGGTTTTCTGAAAATTTTCTTTATTTTAACATTCTTCTCTTCTTTCTTTATTTTAACATTCTTCTCTTCTTTCTTTATTTCAAAGACGCGAGGGTCTACTTTCAAACTATGGGCCGGTTAGGGTACCAAGACCGAAAAGAACCGCAATAATTTCTAGAAAAGAAGAATCCCCCCAGAGCCAAGGGACCAACAGTGGCAATCCCGTAATTAGCCTTTCTTCTCCTTCCTCCTCCAATCGCTTTCGTCAAACGTCAAAAACCAACGTAAGCGCTCTCTCTCTCTCTCTCGCTTTCTCTATTCAAAAACATCGCCTTTTTTATTTTTATTATCTGTGGTTCGCTTCTCTCGTTATAAATTCAGAGCCTGGCTCCTATTCAATCTTATTATTATCGCATAAAGCTCCCTCAACCTTAATTAATTAACGACGTCTGACGATGGGATCCATGTCTAATTTCGACCAGCAGCAGGGCTCGATCCCCAACAGCTCGAGCTTTGACCGCCTCCTCGATCTTCGGAGCTCGCTCTCGTCGGTGAAGAGGGTGCCGTCGGCGTCGAATCTGAGGTCGAGATCATCGTCGATGGGATCGGAGAACGGAACGCCGAAGAAATCGGATCCTAAGATCGTTCGCGCTGCCGCTGGTTACGTCCTTGAGGATGTGCCTCACGTGACTGATTATATCAAGGGTTTGCCCGTACGGTTTCTTTCGTCTTTCGTTTGGTCCTTCTGTTGCTTGCAAAAGTTAGCTTATTTTAATTTTTTAAAAAAATGGATCTTTTGCTTGGAATCGAATCACTAGTATGGATAGCTGCTCTTACTTATTATTAAGGATACGATAGCTTATGCCAAAGGACTTTTGCTTGGATTCTTGCAGAGTAGAAGGTATATTGATGACGATCTTGCTTTATTTTTAATTTTTAAACTTTTTTTTGTGTTTTTTGCCTTTGTTGTTGTTGGTGAGTTGATGTCTGTTAGTAATTGCAAATTAGAAGCTGTGGTATTTGATTTTTGGGAAAAATGCTTCCAGCCCCTAAAAGCCAAGTGACCATGCTTCCCACCCCCAGGACTTGGTCAATGGGCGTTTTACCCCTAAAAATAAAGAATCTATTCTCTGAGCCCCCAAAACACAAAACCCAAGACATTAAAACATGTGAAGACCATAATACCCTTCTCTCTCTCTTTCTTTTTTTATTAAAATATGATAGGGATTATTTTATTATTTTTGTTTTCTCTCTCTCTTTATCATGATGTACCAAGAGGATAGTTGAAATGATTGATGAGGATTATTTTATTATTTTCGTTTTTTATTATTTTGGTTGTTTGTATTGGGAGGTTTAACAACAAATCCGTAACATACACAACAAACACATAACCTTAACAACAAACCCTTAACCTTAACAACCAACCCGTAACCTTAACAATCAACCCGTAACTTTAACAACATCCCAATACAAACAACCAAAATAATAAAAAACAAAAATAATAAAATAATCATCATCAATCATTTCAACTATCCTCTTGGTACATCATGATAAAGAGAGAGAGAAAACAAAAATAATAAAATAATCCCCATCATATTTTAATAAAAAAAGAAAGAGAGAGAGAGAGGATTCATAACCTTAACAACAAACCCTTAACCTTAACAACCAACCCGTAACCTTAACAATCAACCCGTAACTTTAACAACCTCCCAATACAAACAACCAAAATAATAAAAAACGAAAATAATAAAATAATCCTCATCAATCATTTCAACTATCCTCTTGGTACATCATGATAAAGAGAGAGAGAAAACAAAAATAATAAAATAATCCCCATCATATTTTAATAAAAAAAGAAAGAGAGAGAGAGAGGATTCATAACCTTAACAACAAACCCTTAACCTTAACAACCAACCCGTAACCTTAACAATCAACCCGTAACTTTAACAACCTCCCAATACAAACAACCAAAATAATAAAAAACGAAAATAATAAAATAATCCTCATCAATCATTTCAACTATCCTCTTGGTACATCATGATAAAGAGAGAGAGAAAACAAAAATAATAAAATAATCCCCATCATATTTTAATAAAAAAAGAAAGAGAGAGAGAAGGGTATTATGGTCTTCACATGTTTTAATGTCTTGGGTTTTGTGTTTTGGGGGCTCAGAGAACAGATTCTTTATTTTTAGGGGTAAAACACCCATTGACCAAGTCCTGGGGGTGGGAAGCATGTTCACTTGGCTTTTGGGGGCTGGAAGCATTTTTCCCAAAAAAAAACCTGGAGTTGATACCGGAACAGAAACTGAAGGCAAGTTAGTTATCAATTGATCGACGACCCCACCGCGATTATTTTCTTCTTTGTTCTCCCCCTGTTTTGCTTCTTCAGTTACATTTGTGTTATCTCCATTGGATTCGAAACTTGGCAAGTGAGAAATGAGCTGGTTGATGAGCCCACCGCCATTGGACTCTGCAACAACCTCCTCCTCCTTAACTTCGACTTGAGCTTGGATTTCTTCATCATTTGATGAAGAGTTGGGTTTTGTCATGGAGATCATGCTCTGAGTTCTCTCCAAGCAATCATCCATTATTCTAAATTTTTGTTGGGCTAAAAAAATAAATTTCCTTTTTCTTTTTGGGAAGGGTTGAAGTGGGCAAGTAGAACTATGAGGATTTCGCTAGCTATAGCAAAAAGCAAGGTAAGTAGACAGATGTCTTTGTGTTGGATGAAGAAATATATAGAGTTTGTTCTGAGGGTGTACACGTATTTTTGTGATTTTGTCTCGTGGTCTTTGCTTTGGAGATTGGAGCCAACCAAGCTACAAGCACGTGAAGACTCCGGAATGGGTCGTATTCATACAAAATAATAAAAAACTAAAATAATAAAATAATCATCATCAATCATTTCAACTATCCTCTTGGTACATCATGATAAAGAGAGAGAGAAAACAAAAATAATAAAATAATCTCCATCATATTTTAATAAAAAAAGAAAGAGAGAGAGAGGATTCATAACCTTAACAACAAACCCTTAACCTTAACAACCAACCCGTAACCTTAACAATCAACCCGTAACTTTAACAACCTCCCAATACAAACAACGAAAATAATAAAAAAACGAAAATAATAAAATAATCCTCATCAATCATTTCAACTATCCTCTTGGTACATCATGATAAAGAGAGAGAGAGATAGAGAAATAATAAAATAATCCTCATCATATTTTAATAAAAAAAGAAAGAGAGAGAGAAGGGTATTATGGTCTTCGCATGTTTTAATGTCTTGGGTTTTGTGTTTTGGGGGCTCAGAGAACACAATCTTTAATTTTAGGGGTAAAACACCCATTGACCAAGTCTTGGGGGTAGGAAGCACGTTCACTTGGCTTTTGGGGGCTGGAAGCATTTTTCCCTTGATTTTTTAACTTTGCTTAATTAAAGTGGAGCTTTTATCGTGTTCCATTAATCTTGGCTCTCGTAACTTCGAGCGTGATAGCAGATAGCTTACACAATATTTCTAATCACCCCTCTTTTTATTTTTTTAATGAGTTTTGGCTCATCCATTTGTTATTTTCTTTTGACAGACATATCCCAACCCGCTGCAAGATAATCCAGCATATTCAGTGGTGAAGTATGCGCCCATCTAATTCATCGTTCTAGACGCTGATGAGTTTCATTTAATTTAAGCAAAAATTTATTTGTTAATTTTTGATGGGCAGGCAATATTTTGTCAATGAGGATGATACAGTTGCATGTCAGGTGAGTATTTCTAAATTCCAAGATGGATGGAATTTTTAGCTAAACCTGTTGACTTTGTAGTTATATCTCGATTTTTTATCTGTAGATTGTGGTTCATAAGGCCAGTCCCAGAGGGACCCACTTCCGACGTGCTGGGCCCCGTCAGAAGGTAAATTACCCTGTATAATTTTACCCAGACAACGTACATACTAAAAATTACAATTTTAGATGGCTAAAAGATAATTTTTTTTATTGTAATCAGGTGTACTTTGAGTCTGATGAGGTGCATGCGTGCATAGTAACTTGCGGAGGCTTGTGCCCTGGGCTTAATACTGTGATCAGAGAAATTGTCTGTGGCTTGTATCACATGTATGGTGTTACCAGAATCCTTGGAATCGAGGTGAGATTTTGCTTGATTTTTATTCAGTTGCATTCGGCTCAAGCCTCTGTAATCTATAACTCAATTGGTTCTTAAACAACTTATTGTGATATTCCAATTGTAAACTCAGATGATGCTGAACATGATTTACCTTGCAACAACTTCAAAATGTAACATGCTTTGTTAATGTAATGTCGTCGTATCAGCTACAGTAGATTGTTACAAACTTCCACATCATTAGTGAGATCCTAATTTTTTCTTTAATATATTGGGGGTATGTAGAATGAGTATGTAGAATTGGAAGATCATTCCTAATCAATTTGGTAAACCGTAAGCTCCAGTTGACCTACCTGTTGTTTGGATCAAGACTGTTGTTTCTTATGTGCTTGCTCCTTAAAGGTAAACCTTGTAGAGGAACTTTATACTTTCATCTTGTATCCTGTAATTTTAATCCAATTCTTTGAAGTAAACTGAATTCAAGCTGATTTGGGCAAATGTTGTTAGCATTCAGCATCCATCATGTTCTCATGCCCTTAAACATCCATCACTGTTGGGTGCATGGAAACTGCTGGTTGGCTAGCTGTAAAATAAAAAAATACTAAATAAAAAAAGGAAAAAGACTCGTGGATTTCAGAAGCACCAAATTAAAGGGATGTTGGGATTTAATGACCAAGTGTAGTTGGAAGGGTTTGCGGGTGATGCACACAGATGCGTGCACACACGCATATGCACAGAACAAACATGCATAAAGACACAGTAACACACTCATGACTTGTATTTGTGATTACACAGAGTAGGAGCATGTCTTTCCATGTATATATGTGTGTACTTCTGTGCGTGAACATTGGGGTGCATGCGTACTCGGTACTCTCATAAGTGCTGAGGCTTCCTTTAAAAAATCTACCTGATTACCTAGGCACGTGGAGTCCCTTCATTGTTTGCTCACGTGTCACCAGGAAATACTAAGATAAGTCCCTTGTGGTTGAAAAAGAGTTACTCCCTTATCCTTCAAAGCAAACTCTTAAGAGTTCTAGTCCTTTTAGCTGAATAGGCAATTTAATGTTTTCCAACTATTAAAGACCTATTAGAGTTAGGTTCTCGTAATTATCACACATAAATACCACATTGTAATTTATTCCGGTTGTGGCGTTTACAGGGTGGATACAAGGGTTTCTATGCTCGCAATACCATTCCTTTGACACCCAAAAGTGTCAACGATATTCACAAAAGAGGGGGCACCGTCCTCAGCACATCACGAGGTGGACATGATACTTCAAAGATAGTAGATAGCATTCAAGATCGTGGGATCAATCAGGTATTCTTGATAGTCTTTTTCTTCTGTCATGCCCTTTATGGTCAGTTAAGTTTGCTTTTCATTTACTAATTTAAGTTATATTCACAACATGATTTCTGAAGTTGATAAGTTTCATTTGTACAGGTTTATATTATTGGGGGTGATGGAACTCAGAAGGGTGCTTCCGTTATTTTTGAGGTAATTGTGTGTTCAAGAGGCTGAAATACTGTGAACATGAAGATGCAATGATCTAATGACCTGTGCAATGTGAATCCTTTATTTGCTTCTTTTACCTGGAGAACTTTCTGGTCCTAATGTTGCTCGATGATTTTCGTTGCAAAAAAGTTCATTTTGCAACCGGAAATTTCTTGTGTTGAAAATGTTAGTAGTATTGTGTTTATATATAACCATTAAATTATAAGGATTTGTTTTGCAGGAAATCCAAAGGCGCGGACTAAAAGTTGCTGTTGCTGGCATCCCCAAAACAATAGACAATGATATTGCGGTACTTATATTCTTTGGGATATAATTCTCCTTCGTGATGAGTTAACTCTGTAATTTCCTCACTCTCTTGTGTCTTATATTGTTCTCTCTCTGAATCAGGTTATTGACAAGTCATTTGGTTTTGATACTGCTGTGGAGGAGGCCCAAAGGGCAATTAATGCAGCACATGTTGAGGCTGAAAGTGTCGAAAATGGTATAGGTGTTGTGAAGTTAATGGGTCGCTACAGTGGTTAGTTTCAAACCTTATCTGTATTCTCATGCAAATTAGTTTTTTTATAGGTTATTGTTACTTGACATATCATGGATCATCCAATTTGCTGTTGCATAATATTTAAACACACGTTCCCTTGGCGGCTCTTTTTCCTTGACTAATTTGTTCTTTATGTTTTCTCATCCCATTTCCTTAATGTATCACATATCTATCCATCCAAGAAAATGTGTGCCTCTGGATAATCAGATGTATAAATCATATATCATATGAATGAACTTTTAAAGTTTGTTCTGTTAATCAACAAGTGAACTATAAATACTCTGTATGTACAATTTGGTAAATTCACAAGCACATACATGCATTATCATATAATAATTCTTTGGTTATTTGAATTGGAGGGTATCTATCTAGTTTCTAAGGAATTTTTTTTTCTGCAGGATTCATTGCAATGTATGCAACTCTTGCAAGCCGAGATGTGGTATGTACAAAATTCAGTCAGTTCTTGGTCATGTTACTCTCTTGTTCTTTACCCACTTACTTTAGATATTCGCATAATTTTTTTTAAAAAATTCAGAGTGCAAAATTTAGTTGAGATTTTGCGGTAAATTCTTTCTTTTTTCAGGACTGTTGCTTGATTCCTGAGTCACCCTTTTATCTGGAGGGGAAGGGTGGCCTTCTTGAATTTGTTGAAAAACGCCTAAAGGAGAGTGGGCACATGGTTATTGTTGTTGCTGAGGGTGCAGGGCAAGAGCTGATGGCTGAAAGCATAAGAACCATGCATAATGAAGACGCTTCTGGAAATAAGCTACTTCTTGATGTTGGGCTTTGGTTGTCACAGAAGATAAAGGTATGTCCTAATTATTATTACCAGTTAAATGGTTGAACTCTCTTCCACAGCAACTTTCTGGTGTTCTTTTATGTGACTTTTATGCTAGTTCAGGAAATTAATTAATATAAGACGAAATTTTCTTCTGTCTAAGCGAGTGAGGGACTAGACCTCGTAAGACATAGAGCACTATGCTTAAAATGTCTACATGATCTGCATGTATTCTTTCTCTCTCACCAATTTTCTGTAACTTCATCAAGAGGCGACAAGTTACGAATAACACATTGTATACATAAACAAAGAACTTGAGACCTGCAACAAGATCTCAAGTATAAGGCATGCTACCAACATTATGACGGGAACTGTCTCCCCTTTATCAGGAGAGAGTGGAGGACCACCTAATATTTAAACAAAACAAGAAAAAGAACATGTTCTGTATATCATTCAGTTCACTTTGCAAGATAGATAGTACTTTTTCAACTGTATATTTTTGGATGCTGTGGAACTTCATGTGAAAAATGCTTACTTGGTTTCTTCTGCATCGTACAGGAACACTTAACAAAAAAACAGAAGGTGTTAAATCTCAAGTACATAGGTTTGTTACTGGAACTGAATATCTTTGCTATCCTTTTATTTTAATTTCAAATAATTAATTCTTTCTAAATGATCCAATGCAGATCCAACATACATGATTCGTGCAGTCCCTAGCAATGCTTCAGACAATGTTTACAGCACTTTGCTGGCTCATAGTGCTATCCATGGTGCGATGGCAGGGTACACTGGATTCACTGTTGGACCTGTTAATGGAAGGCATGCTTATATACCTTTCCATGTAAGTAAAATCCTCCCCCACCTGTTAATGGTAGATGTTGTTTGGACTGAGCTCATAAACCTAACCCATAGGGCATTTTATTTGGGAAGTAGACTCTGTACCCATAGAATGAGCAAGATTTAGAATCCAAATATCTTGCTCGGTCTCACAGTACATGATGCTTTACCACGGGTGTCCAAAAAGACCTCAGGAGGCTTTACACTTCATCTCCTGTTGCTACTGCTTACTCATCTCCTTGCTCTTGAAGACTATATATCCGTACTCCTTTTTCTTTTTATTTTTCATATTCCCTTTTTAGTTTCCACATCAAAGCGTTTAGAAAAAGTCAATTTAACAGTACATGTTATGCTCTAACAAGGTTGAGTAGCGTATTCAAAATTGACAGCAATTTTCAGATAATATCATACTGACAATTTTTATAAAGAACTTGGTGTATATAATTATATATACTAAGAAATAGGATAAGATGTGAGTCCATTCATAGAAGATGAGAGGTTGTTCGTATGGAAGGACATCATAATCGATCAAGATAATTTGGTCATGTGCAACCGGCCACAAAGTGCACTAATTAGGAGAGGTGATTAAATTAGGAAGGATATGGTATTGCTGAATTTTCCAAAGGAGGTTACACTGAAGAAAATGCCAAACGGAAGAATAGGGCTACGTATAGACGACCCAACTTGTTTTTCAAGACAATTTGTGATGCTAATGACTGTTTTTCCTCATGTTCGCTTTGCAGAGGATTACTGAAACGCAGAACAAAGTAGTGATTACTGACAGAATGTGGGCAAGGTTGCTTTCATCGACTAACCAGCCAAGCTTTCTCAGCCAAGTAGATGTTGAGGATGCAAAGAAGGAAGAACCTCCAGCTCAGTTCCTTCAAGGTGATGATAAGAAGCGATGCAGTGAAGAGAGTGTAAGCAACAATTGCTCAAAGCTAAGCAGCAGCTCAAGTCAGAAATCAACGGGTCAGAAATCAGCATGAGGGCTCTCCCTTCCTGCTCCTCACCGTCTTCGTTCCAAAAGTTTACGCTGCTATTTCAACCAGAATGTAGTTTGCGCTATTAGATGGGAGCTTTGTATTGTGTATAGCATTCACTTGATATTTATGTATCATCCAGAATCGATATTTTTTTTTTGTTCTTTTTTTTTATCATAAGAGGTTATGCTAGATTGAATGTAGCAAGCCTTATGATGGAAATATCTTCTGTCAGCTTGAAGAGAGATCTTGTTAACTGTATGGAACTGGTTAGCTACCAGTTAAATAATATTGTTACAAGAAGAAACATCCGATTATATGACGACTGTGACCCGGGACGTTCCTTTGTTTTTGAGCAAGTATTCTACGTAGGAAAACAGTAAGATGCAATATGGCCTCCGCTATTTTGCGTGGAGAAAATTACGCAGATAATATTTATATACCCATTTATGAAATTAATTGTTATATTCTTTTGGGACTCTTTCTTCGCCATACGGTGCTCGCTGTTTGTATCCCAAGGTTTCTACGTTACAACTACGTGCAGACGGAAAGACTTTGAGACGGAATATCGGTGATAAAATTTGTTCCGATGCATCCACGTTTAGAACGCAAATAGAATTAGGTTTTGGTAATTTGATTAGGTAAGGATTAAGGATGACTTGATAATCTAATTTGATCGGGTTAGAAGGAAAAGGTAAGGTATTATGTAACTATGCTCAACATTTATCTCTCTCTCTCTGTAGGCGTCTAAAAATGCCTATAGATGTCCGCACATAGCTCGAGACAGAGAGAAGACGACGAACATCGTTATCCGAGTCTAAGAGGATTATCTGACGCCGACAAGCGCCTGAAGCGAAACGGCGAATCAAGTGACCAACGTGCGTTCGACAGTCAATCTCGCGACAAAGCATACAAGTCAAACAAATCGACCGAATACGCGACAAGAATAAGTCCTGGAAGAAAGAAAACAGAAAAGGGAAAAAGTCGGCGAACCCGCGCTAGCGCAGGACGGGATGATCCGACCCGCGCAAGCGCGGGACGGATCAATCCGACCCGCGCATGCGCGGGTCGGATGATTCCGACCCGCGCAAGCGCGGGTCGGATCTGTCCGACCCTCGCAAGCGCGGGTCAGACCAGTCTGCCGTGCTGTTTTGACCTCCTGATGTGTATTTTGACGGTTTTAACGGTTTTCTCGAGATCTTTTCAGTTTCAGAGGTTCCCAACTGCCTAGATATCATCACCAAACGTGGTTAGGCTGTTATTGACTAAAGATAAGGCCAAATCACTTGTTCTCATCCAAATAACCGCTTCCGAAGGCCTATAAATATGAACCCAAGGCCTCCATTTTCAGAGACGGAGTTATTATCAAGACGTGGAGGTGCTGCTGGATTGAGGAGTCAAGGAGCACGAATTTCAGCGAAGGCAAATCAGATCCCGGCGAACTTCGGCATAAAGAAGGAGCTATTCGAAGGATCTGAACCCCGTCCGTCCGTCCCTTGAGATTAGGCTTGGTCTTAATCTCGAGAAGAGCCCTGATTTCGCTTGGTCGATTTCAGCGCTTCAAATCAAATACTTCCTCGGCGAAGGCGAAGCTCTGCCGAATTTTTCATCAACCGGATCCAGATCAAAGGCGGTCCACGGATAAACCCCGGCACAGGCAAAGATCCCACGCAAGCAGAAGACCGATAAACGATCTCTGCGTTTGTTTGACGAGAATTGTATTTTTTTTATTTTCATTGTGTAAAAGTCTTATAAAAGACTATCTTTTTGTTTTCATTGTAACGACAGAAGTTGTAATGAATACCGCAATGAATACAATAATTTTCGACGTAAACAAACTGGCGACCACAGTGGGAGGCAACAGCTTCGCTTCCGGAGCTGTCGTGTCGCAACCTCGGATCTGCATCCCGGTTGAAGAAGTGGTCGAATACGAGTTCGACCAACTGAAGTTCGAGGAATATCTGTCGTCCTCCTCCTCCAGATCCTCCGCCTCTCGCAAGCGAAGGAAGATCAACGCCCCCGTTGTTGCGGTAGCTGAACCTCGCCACCCCTCCTCAATCAAGGAGTTGAGTACAGAAGGCGCGCCTATTTTATCAAAGAGAACTCGTCAAAGACAGCGCCAACGCTGTGCGCGCCAACTCGCTAGAGCCTTGGAGTCAATTGACGGGATCCGTTACGAGGCGGATCTAAAAATTAGGCAACGCCAAGCACCCCAACAGCGGACAGATGTCCTCCCCTCCAAACCAATAGCAAATGAATGGATCCAAATCAAAAGAATCCGTTCAACTCTGGAGGAGCGAATTCAAAAGCGCTGCGCGCTTGCGCGCACGCGAATTCTTGTGCAAAAAGCACAAAAGATGCAGAAGAAGGACATAGCTAAGAAACAACCAAGACTGCATCAAACTTGGAGGCCAAAATCCAAAACGGCAGCCGAAAAGATCGAGAATCGCGGGTCCAAATCCGACCCGCCAATCTGCAGGTCGTCCAAATCTGACCCTCCAAATCGCGGGTCACTCAAATCCGACCCGCCAATCTGCAGGTCGCCCAAATCCGACCCTCCAAATCGCGGGTCACTCAAACCCGACCTGTCAATCTGCAGGTCGCCCAAATCCGACCCTCCAAATCGCGGGTCATTTGGGTCCGACCCTCCACTTTGCGGGTCACCCAAATCCGACCCTCCACTTTGCGGGTCACCTGGATCCGACCCTCCAACCCGCAGGTCACTCAAGTCCGACCCGCGCCAGGGTAAAGACAGAAGACGTTATGCACATGTTTCGTCGATTCCTTCGAGTTCCGTACCTCCGGCGGGGCACCGTGACAGCGTGGATTTGTCCCGATTCAAGGTGAGGATAGTCGATCGCCTGGGTCCTTTGCACGAGGATCAAGACAAAGTTCTGATCGAAGAACGCTTGGGTCCGGTGACTGAACCTCGAGCGACTCGTCGAGCTGGGGGTCGCACATGACCTCGCAACAATTTCAAGCCTTCTCATAAAGGGAAAACTCTAATTTCTACCCGCCTGGGGGTGTGTATCCAAAACCAAGAGCCTGTTGAGATCCTGCGCTCCCAAAAGCGTAGTTCTAAATACGTGACTCTTGAGAATGCTAATAAAGCGGCAACTCCCCTGAAAGAAACGTATTCATCTGACGATGACAACGTTATACCAGGGGAGTCATGTCAACACACGATAGGTTGTTCTAGTCATCTAACCGATGAGTTGTACTATCAGGCTGGGGGTATGAACAAGTCTCGTAAGAGATATACCCAAGAAACAAAATCTTACTGCCCGTGCACCGAACTAATCGAGGCAATATTATCAGCTTGTAGCTGCCCCAAGACCACTCCGCAGAGGGTCTCGGTATTCGAGAGGAGCTCCAACGGAATAGCTAAGCAAGACCACTCCGCAGAGGGTCTCGGTATTCGAGAGGAGCTCCAACGGAATAGCTAAGTCCAGACCAAAGCATCTCCATAAGAAGCGATCGGCTGTTCATGATGACGAACTTCCAGAAGTCACAATTAACATGGCTGATAAGGGAAAGTCGATTCGACCTTCTAGTTCTGACCCTCTCGTATCGTATCGTCTAACTCGGCTCTGACCCTCTCGTATCGCATCGTCTGACTCGGCTACGCGTAGGGACCACTAGACGTAGAGACTACCAGAGAATGCAGAAAGGTTTATCATCGGATGATGAAGCATCAGATGCTAACTCGGTAATCGCTTCTGATAATACGGTATCCAGTCCGGGACAATCTCACGAAGTGTTCATGATCAACACCGAGCAGGTAGCCAAAATGGTTGAGGATGCATTGGCCAAACAGAAAGAGACATTCAAGATCGAAATGGAAATGGCTATGCTACGGATGAGGGAAGAACATGACCAACAAATCCGAGCTTTGTCGAATCAAATTGGTGAATCCAGCCGTCGCAACATTGCTTACCAAGCAGGTAGCGATTCAGATGTGGATGAACGTCTCGACGATGAGAACCCTCCCATTGACCAAAACGCTGGGGGTGGTCCTGCCAATGATGACAACACCGGGAGTGGCCCCGTTATCCATCTTAAGGATCGTCCTAGGCCCGATATGAGCGAGGATGAGAAAATGAAAGATCTCGAGAGCAAAATCAACGCTCTAATGTCTGCTCGAGAAGTGAAAAGGACCGGCATTCCATGTCCCTATCCAAGAGAATGGGATTCGATTCCGTATCCGGCGAAGTTCAACCTGATTAACTTCACGCCGTTTGACGGGAATGGTTCACCCACTCAACATCTGATCTACTTCAAGTCCCACTTGGGTATGATCTCCAGCAATGAAGCCTTGATGGTTCGGTCATTCGTTGGCACCCTTCACGGGCCGGCCTTCGATTGGTACCGCCGTCTCAAGTCCAGAAGTATTAACAACTGGGACGATATGGAGAACTCATTCCTTGGTAACTTCTTTGAGGACGACGACGAGGTATCCATCAGGACACTTTTCGATGAGAAACAAGAAGATGACGAGACAGTCGACGACTTCGTCAAACGCTTCCGGAATAAAGCAATGAACTGCCGAGATCCGATCACGGAGGACTTCATCCTCCAGACATGTCATAACAACCTATCTATTGAGATATTGGAAGTTATGGGAGTCGCACCGTCTAACACTTGGAAAGACTTGAAGGTGCGCGGTGAACAAGCCGAACGCTTCCTCCGAAGGAAGAAGGCCGAGAGGAGCCAACCGACGGCCAATCCTCCGAACTCGAACTTTGCCTCCCGTGGTAAGGGCAAGGCACCTGCAGCTGCTGATGGTGCTAATCAAACGTCACAACAGCAATCCCGAAGGCAACAAAAGACTTCGGATCCGAGACTCCAAAAAGAGTACTCCTTCAAGGACGAAGATGTTCCAGCTATTTTCGAGTCCCTCCTTGAAAATAACAAGATCAAGCTACCACCTATCCCAGATCAGGAGGAAGCTGATAATACTACGGATCCGAAGTACTGGGTGGATGATTTATGTAACGGGAAGTTCCTGGAGAATCTTATATTCTTAAGGATAACCCGAACATGCGACTGAGGATAACGTACTCCTCGTTACACCCAGTTTTGCAAAGAAAGCTGGGGGTGGATAATTCATGTAACGGGAAGTTCCCAGAAGAATGTTAAATGTAATATTCTTAGGGATAACCCGATCATTATGAACAAAGTGATAAACACTAAACTCCTACTATGACTTCCGAATACTCTTTTGCTGAGATGAGATTCGATCACTTCATTAGATCAATCTTTCCTCACAAAACTCTCATTGGTGTTTGACGACTCACAGTCTTTCACCACAAAATCCCCCACCGATCAGACTAATTGACGGTGGGACCACCAAAATTCTTTCCTGTTTAATCCATTCAAACTCCCGCTATGTTCGTGCACTCAACACTTTCATGGTTAGAGTCCGGATATAATGCTTAGAATTTTAATCTGTCAATCCTTGACGAAATGTCAAACCCCTTCGTGCTAAGTCATTATCACTTAACACCAAGAACCCCTACTGAGTGATTTGTACAAGTCAACACTCCCACTGTGATTTGTACTCTCACTCCCACTATCCACTTGGTCAAACTTTCCTACAGTTAGGACAACAGTCAAAATCCCCTCTCGATTCCTTCAATAAACGAGAGGTCCACAAATCGAGTGATCAAACCTATAAAAGTTAAGGTCATCTCACACTCCCCCTCCCACCTGGTCAAACCTTCCTACAGTTAGGACCAAAACCATAATTCCCTCTCGAAAAATGAGAAATCCATCTTTAGTTCGGTAATCAAACCTTCCGACAGTTAGGGTTATCCGAATCTTTTTGATTCTCGGAGTGGAGATCCCACTCTTAGTTTCACATTCCCGGATTCTTGAAGTGGAGATCCCACTTTGAGTTTCCTTTTACAACTGGAGATAGAATATAAAATTCTTCCTCTTCAGTGTTGGGAGATAGAATATAAAATTCTTCCTCTCCCGCTTCGGGTTCGTCTTTGCCCCAAGAGAAGACACCACCTTTTCAACTCCTAAAATCCGTGTCTCACAGGCACGGGTAATTTTATCCCGAATCCTGAGTAGGAATAAGTCAATGCCTAACACGCGTTGCCAGTTTAGTCTTTCACCGATTGAAAAAGACACCAGAATCCAGTCTGGGGCATTTTATCCCGAAGCCTAAGTAGGGATAAGTCAGCGCTTAACCCGCGTTGCTGGGTGGTTCGTTCCCGTAAAAATGACCGAGTCTACGTATTCAGCATCGTAGCAACAAAAATCCATGCCTTTTATGCATGAGGAATTTTATCCCGAATCCTGAGCAGGGATAAGTCAACGCCTAACACGCGTTGTCGGTTAGTTCTTAACTTTAAAAAGAACAAAAGCCCACATATTCGACATTGTGGCAGGTCATTATTCATAACGCCAAAATCCATGCTTCACACGCGCGGGGAATTTTATCCCGAACCCTAAGTAGGGATAAGTCAACGCCTAACTCGCGTTGCCGGTTTAGTCTTTTACCGATTGAAGAAGACACCAGAATTCCAATCTGGGGACTTTTATCCTGAAACCTAAGTAGGGATAGGTCAGCGTCTAACACACGTTGCCGGGTAGCCTATTCCCGTAACAATGACGAAGTCTACGTATTCAATATCGTAGCATCAAGTCTAAGGGAGTTCATTCCTTTAGCACAACGTCACATGCGGAACGGACTTAAACAATCCGCATGCGAGCCCGATTCAAACGGTAATCGGTAAAGGCACGCCAAATCCGTTGAAGGCTGAGGGTTTGCCAAAAACCTTAAAGTCTACGTCTGATACACGTCGCTGTTTAGTCTTTTCACAGGAGAAAGACGAAGTCTACGTATTCAATATCGTAGCACTAAAAGAGTTAACTCTTTTAGCATAACGTTACATGCGGAACGGACTTAAACAATCCGCATGCTAGCCCGACTCAAACGGTAGTCGGTAAAGGCTTATCAAACCCGTTGATGGCTGAGAATTTGCCAAAAATTCTATAAATGCGAGTCATTGACGTATCAGCTTCATTAGTTGGTCTCATGACTTGAACATCCAACAAACTTCAGGATAAGATCCACACGTGCAGATGAATCAGCTTTAATAGTTGGTCCTGCAGCCCAACATTCGGGACCGTCACGCTCCAATGCCTTAAGAGCTTAAACTGTGTAGACTCCAGCAAACGTACGAGTATAAACTGTGTTAACGCCGGTCAACGCGTTACAGTAAAGATCGATGCCGGTCAACGCATCAGCAATTTCGCCAAAATAAGGCAAAAGATGACTCCAAGGATTTCAGTTACAATCAGATATGAATTCCCGACGGAGAGGATTAGTTCAAAGTCAACTCAATGGCACGAGCTAAGTTCAGAAACTTACACACCAATCTCAGTTCAAGATTTCGACAACGGTCAGACGATAAACGCAGCGCCTCCAGACTCCTCTATAAAAGAACGAGTCTGGAATACTTTGGAGGGGGTATCTGTAGGCGTCTAAAAATGCCTATAGATATCCGCACATAGCTCGAGACAGAGAGAAGACGACGAACATCGTTATCCGAGTCTAAGAGGATTATCTGACGCCGACAAGCGCCTGAAGCGAAACAGCGAATCAAGTGACCAACGTGCGTTCGACAGTCAATCTCGCGACAAAGCATACAAGTCAAACAAATCGATCGAATACGCGACAAGAATAAGTCCCGGAAGAAAGAAAATAGAAAAGGGAAAAAGTCGGCGAACCCGCGCTAGCGCAGGACGGGATGATCCGACCCGCGCAAGCGCGGGTCGGATCAATCCGACCCGCGCATGCGCGGGTCGGATGATTCCGACCCACGCAAGCGCGGGTCGGATCTGTCCGACCCGCGCAAGCGCGGGTCAGACCAGTCTGCCACGCTGTTTTGACCTCCTGATGTGTATTTCGACGATTTTAACGGTTTTCTCGAGATCTTTTCAGTTCCAGAGGTTCCCAACTGCCTAGATATCATCACCAAACGCCAGAGGTTCCCAACTGCCTAGATATCATCACCAAACGTGGTTAGGCTGTTATTGACTAAAGATAAGGCCAAATCACTTGTTCTCATCCAAATAACCGCTTCCGAAGGCCTATAAATATGAACCCAATGCCTCCATTTTCAGAGACGGAGTTATTATCAAGACGTGGAGGTGCTGCTGGATTGAGGAGTCAAGGAGCACGAATTTCAGCGAAGGCAAATCAGATCCCGACGAACTTCGGCATAAAGAAGGAGCTATTCGAAGGATCTGAACCCCGTCCGTCCGTCCCTTGAGATTAGGCTTGGTCTTAATCTCGAGAAGAGCCCTGATTTCGCTTGGTCGATTTCAGCGCTTCAAATCAAATACTTCCTCGGCGAATGCGAAGCTCTGCCGAATTTTTCATCAACCGGATCCAGATCAAAGGCGGTCCACGGATAAACCCCGGCACAGACAAAGATCCCACGCAAGCAGAAGACCGATAAACGATCTCTGCGTTTGTTTGACGAGAATTGTATTTTTTTCATTTTCATTATGTAAAAGTCTTATAAAAAGACTATCTTTTTGTTTTCATTGTAACGACCGAAGTTGTAATGAATACCGCAATGAATACATCAATTTTCGACGCAAACACTCTTCTCTAGCAAAAAAATACTATATACGATGAATAATTTCTTCACTCATGATCAAGTAACAATGCCTCCAGCTGCGTCATCCAGATAAACAATATCTATTTGGTAGAGATATCTAGGAACATAATCACATCTGCATGAAATCAATGAACTTAGTTCAAACAATGACCCTCCCATGTGACACAGTCTGAATTCACGTCTCTTTTTAATACAGGATCATAGGACTGCTATGAAACAGCTACTTGTTATGGTTTCATCTTCACTATAGGAAACAAGGGAAAAAACCCAACCACACTTGTAACCTTACTTGTCTAATTATACTCTCATAAGCAAATGCATTCATTTGATTTTATGTTGCTTTTGTTCCCCGCCATCACACCAAACAAAAAGACTTCAAATTTAGAACCTTCAAATAAATTACTGCAGATGAAGATAATACCACGACACTCATAAAGTATGGACAAATTTTCAAAACCATCATATTTACACATTTAATCTTAAAAAACGATCCATTTCAAGTTTATTTGTAAAAACCGACCTGGTTTCAATCCTAACGCTGAAATTAGATCGGTTTTTACGAAAAAATTCTCAAACTTCATGGAACTTTAAGTCCCGTGAAGCTTAACTATTTAACTAAGCTGCTAAACTTCACGAGACTTGAAGTCCCGTGAAGCTTGTTTGAATTTCCAAACTAAGTCTTATTAGAATGCAACGAGATTCCCCGTATGATAATCCCTAGGACCCACCAGGCAAATGTCTCGGGAAAGTACCATTATTGAATGGCCTGCGTAGCATCACTAACCTACTTTTCCCCGTTATCAAAGGAGAGTTAGGAGCCTAGATGGGAATCAGGACGAAAAAGTATGGTCGCCATCACTAACCTACTTTTTCTCAATTTCCAACGAACTGGTTCCACTTGGAAATTCCCAATGTAAAAGGATGTAAAGTGTAAAAAAGTGGGTCCCAATGTCAACTTTCATCACTTTCAATTGTTTGTTTGTAGTTATGAAAATAGTATAAAGTGATTTCATATGCTGATGTGGCTTGTAAAGTGATTTCATGAAAAAAAGACATGATTTTAAGAGAAAGCTGACATTGAAGTTAGGAAAAAATAATAAAAAATAATTCAAACCAATATGATCATTTGAGTAGGGATCACTTTTCACACTTTCCAAACAAACAATTAAAGTTTCATTTTGCAAACCAAACAAGTGTTTTATGATTCCAATGGAATCAAAAACAAACAAAGAAAAGTATAAAAGTAAAATTGATAAGGTGGACAACAACAAGTTGTGTCATAAATACACAACTTTACCAACAACAACCAAACAGCCCCTAAACCTACTTTCAGTTTTTTCCCAATTTCCAACGTCGGATGCCTTCTCCTATTTTCTTTAACAAACTTCAATGGACTTGAAGTCCCGTGAAGTTTGTTTGAACTACAAAATTTCACAACACTTGAAGTCCCGTGAAGTTTCGGAAGTTTTTTTTTTAAAAACCGACCTGGTTTCAGCACTAAGACTAAAACTAGGTCGGTTTTTGAAATTAAATGTGAAATGAGTCTTTTTTTGGGATTAAAAGTTCAAAAGGGACTGTTTTGAAAATTTGTCCCATAAAGTATTTAAAATGATATATAAAAGTTGTGTAATACACAACAATAATATATATTGGCCCTATTATCACTGTTGTCCCATTGACTGCAAAAGCATAAGCACCAATGACATTGGAAACAAAATATTAGGATTTGACACATTCATCCTTCTCTGAATACGGTGTTGATCATCTCTTTCAAAGTTCTGCAGCCTACAATTGTGATATCCATCTTGAGGGATCTGAGCGATTTCTCTGCTGTCTTAGGTATGACACATCTCTTGTACCCCAATTTAGCAACAGCTAGCACTCTCTTGTCCATTCGTGGAACCTACAAATGGAATATTGCACCAAATTAAGCGCAATGTGCATTAAAAAAGAAATGAGGAAGACGAAGAAAGACACAGTAGCAAAACAGATGGAAGCTAATTTTATTTTGATTGGTGAGAATGGTTAATATATGGAGGCATAGGCAGGCTCAGTCGTGCAAGCTGGATCCACCTACTATAATACTTACAAGCTATTACTTCCAATTAAGATTGATGCTGATATCAAAAATTAAATAGTTCATTGCACATCAACCCTGTAGCATCATTGTTTGAACCTGTAATTTCATTAGGAATAATAAAATTCTCTTTGTGCTCTGTTGAAGACAAAATTGGATGAAAGCAAATCTAGTCATAATATTAGTCAGGGTTGGACATTTATTCATAAATTTGATTTTGATGACCATGGCAGAATCTTTGTGGTTATGGGATAATATCCAATTCATGTTCAATGCTTGTTGATTTCTTGGGCGAATATCAAGGAGGATTTTATAAGGTTTTCTTTCACTTTTGTGTATGTTCATAACTCTCAAGGATTGAGATTCCAATTATGGAGAGATCTTAGGCATCTTACATCTCTGATTCAGGCTCCATGGATCATCTTGGATTTTAAACAGTTTTGCACATATGGAGGGGAAGCTAAATAGCAGGCCAATCACTAAAAGTACTATACATGAACTTCAGTCTTTCTTTCTGATACTAGAATTTTGACCGACATTATATTGGATGGTGATAATACTTTGACTAATAATACTCATAAGGAATTCTTTGGTGGCATGTAAGCAAGAATTGAGCAAACTAAAGAGGGGTTAATTACTATTCAACTTCAAGTCCAAGATGATTCAAGTAACCAGTCTCTTTATAATCTGGAAGTAGAATGTATTAAGAGGTACAAGACAATTTTGAGAGCTGAAAGTAAAATTTTGAAAAAAAGGCCAAAGTAAAATGGATTGGTGAGGGTGCTCTTAGTACAGCTTATTTTCATGCTGCTATCAAGCAAAGGAAGTGTGTTAATAATATTGTTGCTCTATATACCAAGGAGGGCGTGAAGCTTACTAATAAAACTGACAGAGAATGAAACCATATGCTTTTATCACATTATGCCCGGGGAATCTCATGTTCAGGAACTTGCCTAAAACTAAGGTAGGAGAAACATCAGTCCTAGCTGTTTAATCAAACTTGATCTTAGGAAAGCAAGCGACACCCTCAATTGGGATTTCATATATGCCATCATAGTGCGCTTTGGCTTTCCTTTAAGATACATCGGTTGGGTCATGCAATGTATGCAAAAGGGGAATTATTCTATAGTGATTAATGGAGAGCCAAGCAGTTATTTTCAAGGTAAATGGGGTATTAGACAAGGAGCCCCAATATCTCCTTATCTTTTTACTCTTCCTATGGAATATCTATCCAGGATGTCTTGCTTCTATTAGTGGTAATCTTTCGTTCAAGTATCGTTTAAAGTGTCATCAGCTCAAGTTAACACGTCTATCCTAGGCTGATGATCTTCTGGTTTCTCGCAAAGGTGAGATAAGGCTTATGGTCGACATTTTTCACTGATATCGAATAAAACTTACCACTCATACTGAAAAAAAAGAGTCCAGTTATTATCGTCAATAAGTACCTACAAGTTCAGTCAATGTTTCAACGAAAAATAAAGGCACAAAGTACCTTAATAAAAGTCATGAACCATTACTGACATCTTTGTTTGAACTGGAGGAGCATAGGTAGGGAGCTAAAATCTTTGCCAATGCAAAGAAAATTAACCCTAGAACTAATAATATTGAAAAAGACAGTGCCAGAAGATCAGTCAAATTTAACTCGTGGTATTTCAGAGTACCAAACCAACTGAAAATCAGATATTACTTACCGTGCGGAGCTCACCACCCAGTCCAATCTCACCAATAAATGCCACATCAGTCGGGATGGGAAATTCCAAGAAACTGCAAGCAAAAAAAGAATCCTTCAATCTAAACTGCTAGAGAAAACAAAAGTTCCATGAACCTATCTCGCACTGCAATACATTTATCAGCAGTATGAATGAAAATCTCTACCATGTAATATCAGTCTAAATCTCTCATGACACCCATACATAGTGACAACAAACCATTCGCCTAATACTATAGATAACATGAGCTCTACCCATTAAAAGCACATCTCATGTTTGTGTTTCGATCCTTTTGGATGATCTAGTCTGTTTATGCTTCCTCCAAATATGCACTCGCACTTATAAACAAGTTCGGGATATGGTTGTTTCCCAAATTATTTGAGGATTATGGGGTGCACAACAAAACATTCTGGGAACAGGTTTTGAAACTAGAGGTTTGAACCAAAACTCCCCATGAAAGAATTAAAAAATTTAGAATCTCAGAGTAATTAGAATTCTAGGAAAGGCAACCTATCAAGCTAGACTTTGGATAAGGATCCCATAAAAATTAAAACACTCATTTATTAGTACACAAAGGGAAATTTAACCTTCAATTCCAATGGATACATATGTGACCCGAATATGTTCAAAAAGTATTATCTAGTACATTAAATATGAACTATTTCTAGAGTAACCACACTTTTTACACGCATTTGTACAATTATATGTCCAAATTGATGAAGTGAATATCAAAATACTAAGCAACAAAGAGCTTTGTACAGTATTATGTGTGATTTACAAGAAAATATCCTTCTCTGGGGTGGTTCACACAGCTCTAGCTAGCAAGGAAGACAAATAATTTCTCTATAGGGAAACACAGGAAACAACCTTATATCTATTTATAAGTTGTAAAAGATTTGATTTACTGCCAGGTAAAAGGCAGCATACTACATTTACATTTCAAAGCAACAAAATGCTAAAAGAAAACATCTACCTGCTGCATATTGCAGCTGCTATAGCAAGGTCTCCAGCTGTCTCTGTCAACTTAAATCCACTAACAACATTCAGAAAGATAGCCTGTAAGAAAGAAGTAAATTCACTGCATGCTTAAAATTCTATGCCATAAAATAAATGTGAGGTAAATTTGCCAGCAAAGGACATAAATCATAAATGATGGTACACAGTCCTAACCTTGCTACCAAAATAGAAACATAGAAAACATCACAACAGATGAAGCCAAGGAATGATGTGTGAGGAAACAACAGAACTAAAATGGAGAACTAGGATTCTTCCAAGGATGGGTTTTTAAGGAACAACAGAACTATGACCAAGGTTTTAAATAACGGATTTTGAAGAACTATCGAAAAACCAAAACCCATATCAGATTGCAACTATCGGGGAAATATCAGACAACCAAAAGCCACATCGAATTGGGAACATTGGGGATGTGAAGTAAATATCAGAGTGATATATCGGATGATGTGCATATATAATACAATATCCTAAATGTAATCTGAACATACTCAATAAAACCTAAGCGTACAAAAATGTAATTAATATATATTGAGGATCACTAACCAATTGTAGAAACTTACTTAGGGGAAAAAGAGGCTAGAGTTTGCTAAAAAAAACTTCATAGGGTCCAGATTTTTGCTAAAAAATTTCACAGGGTCCAGATTTTTGCTAAAAAAACATTAAACAGATTTTGCAAAACTATATTGTTTTGCTACAAATCATATAAAAGGACATATCGGCCAGCATATAAGTTAATATATTGGCCATGTCGGGATATGTTGCCCAAAAAAGGCCAAAAGGCAGTATTGAGATCATATCATGTAGTGTCAAGCCTTACAAATGAACACATAGTCCAATATATCGGCTATATCGGGGAATATTTGAAACAATGAGAAGGCACTTTTTTCCATCTCACAATAATATCCTAAGGGCTTGGTATTTGCATAAACATAATTCATACTCAATTTTCCTTTTATGTTTAATTTCCAAAGTAATAGTTTCTAAATATTAACTTATTTCCTGTTATAAAAATGACGAGGGAAACTTTATCATAGGGTTTTGACTTAAATAGCATTGCTCCTTAGAACAGAGAATCATACATCCAAACCTGAAAGGCAACAATATACTTTATTTCGGAAAAAACTGATGGCACCAATGTAGGGGCTGCTATAGTTTCATAAACCCATGCATTGTTCTTTCAGTTCCCATATTTTGCCACGGTGTTGGTTCCTACCTCAATATTTCCTCTATTGTGGAATACATTAAATTTGTCCTTAGGCTCCACTCCACTAATTTGCTAGTGGTTCTGCATTAGAATGAGGGGAAAAAGGCATTCTCTTGTAGTTTGGACTAGCATGTCATCTAGAAACTACACCATAATTATGCAAAGCCTTATTCTTTTTCAGTTAAAACATTCAACTCTATAGTAGTAAGGCATCCTAATTTTAAAAATCTAAGTCCCTGCTCATAGCCATTTTCAGGAACATTTTATTTTTAGGGCAGTGTTCAATACATGGGAAAAAAAGATCTTGTATTTGCCTTGCCAGGTTTTAAAGAAAGCGTAACTAAAGAACAAGATTCTCTGGTCAAAAGGAATAAAGCTCAAATTCAATCAAGTGACTATAATAATTTTAAATTTTAAACAGGTCAAATAAACACAGTTCTGGACGCTTCTTGTATCTGCTTGGTTAGAATCATAATTTCCTCTTCAATAACTTACCACTGTAATCATGTAAAATTGCAGCAATCTTGCAATTCAGGATGCTTCAAACACGATGCCATTACATGAAGATTAGAAGGGCTGGATTCATGATAAATTTTTTATGCAGAATTTTAAATTCGTTGTGTAGGGCTACCAAGTCTTTAACTCTATGCATTAGCTACAGAAGCATATGCTGCTTTAGGCAGGATCAGCAATATATCCTATTTGTTGGCAAAAATCCAAGGTAGTAAAGTACACGGGAAAAAAAAGAATTTAAAGGATGCAACTTTAAAGAGAACAATGGAACATGAATGAATCTTTAGCAAAATTTTTCTAGAAAATAATGATGTGACAGTTAGCTGGGAATGGGACAGATTTGGGTTGAACCTGTGCAAGCCCGAGTCAGACCCGTAAGTTTTCTTGAGTCCCAATCTAAAACTGCGACTAATTGCGAATGCTTTAGGGGATAACATCCAGAAACTCCTACTAATTGCGAATGCTTTAGGGGATAACATTCAGCAAGTAAAAATTAAATCTAAAAAACTAAAGTAGCTTACAATTATATGTTGATGGATAAATGACCACGAGGGAACAGCTGGAATGAGCAAACTAGCATCTCACTTGAATAGGATGAAAGGAAGTTATACAATGGTTTGAACAAATATAACAGGACCCCTCCACGCAATAGGAGCATACTATCTTATTTGAAGTTGCTATCAAGACAAAATTAAATATTAGAAAAACATATCAAAGCTGTCAATATGTAATAAAGCTGAATGACACATAAAATAAAGGTATAAAATGCAAAGATAAGAAGAAAAGTCAAGCACTGAGATTCATACGCTATCTTGGAGCTTTAAACCTGCCTGCTTCATAAGGACCTTCAAGAAAATGAAGTTTCCAAAGGTAAGCTACTAAGCAATGGTCAGATAATTTTATAGCGTGGTGAACGAAAACAGTTAGGAACTTAAGATTCAGAAAACTTTCGACAGAAAACCAAGAGGGTCAAAACTTTCATTTATTTGATAACCAAAAATATGTGCAGCACATAACAATTTCTATATTCATGTCACAAATAAAAAATCTATTATTCTAGAGTATAATCAGGCCATCATATATAATGGTTCAGTTCCATTGTCGAAATTTTCATATACATATACACCTAAAACGTTCCTATCTTATCTTATTATATTTCAGCATTGGTTATCATCTTAAATGGCAAGGTTTTAGGTATCAAGGAAATATCAGACACCCATAATTTATTTTGGATTGCGGATATTAAGCAAATATCAAGGATGTGTAGTAAATATCGAAGTGTCATATCGGACTAAGTTCATATATAAATATAATATCCTAAAATGTAATAGAAAAAAACTTAAATGAAATCTAAGCATAGAAAACTGTAAATAATATATGTTTACGATCATTAACCAATTGTAGAAACTTACTTAGTGCAAAGAGCCGACTAGAATTTGTTATAGCCAAAAAATACTTCATAGGGCTAAACTTTTTTGCTAAAAATAATAAAGAAATTTGGCAAAAGTATATTGTTTTGTGATAAGCCATACAAAAGGATGTGTAGGCCAACATATCGGCTGGCATACCACCCATCTTGGGGATTTATCATCCAAAAATTGCCAAAAGGCTGTAAAAGATATTGACGTGTCGCTTTGCGGCACGCCTTATAAAAGAATATATTGACTGACAATATCAGCCACATCACGTATATTTAAAACAATGATACAGGGTGGGTCATGGCTTTTATGACTATATGACAACAGTTTATATACTAGCATTTCAAGGCTATTGCTGCTCAAATGCCAAAATCAGGCGCTCTTCTTCCTATCATAGACCGAATCCTACAACGATAATTAACATTCCAGCAGACAGTTTATTATACAAGGCTGACTAGAACTCAGACCTAAACTAATACTAGAAATGTGTAACATATTCTGTCCAAAATAAACAAATGAACTCAGACGTAAAACAACATTTGGAATGTCTAACAACATTCCTGTCCAACACAAACAAATAGTGATGAATTAACAGCCCACCATCGCGACTCATAAGTATACAGTGTAATGCATATCCCTGCTGTTCAACATATTAGACAACAGAGTTAGCCAGCACGTACTTCATGGAAAAACTCCAACGTTGCCTGCAGTTTACCTGACCTGTAGTGATGTAGAAGCCAGAAGGCACTGGATGATTCTGCGAACCTGAGCCAGCATGTAGCCGCTAAAGTAGAACCACACTTGGAACTATTTTTTACCTTCTACTGAAAATTTCTAAAAATTTTCGAAAGTTAAAGATCCAGCAAGATCGCACAAAAAGGTACCAGTAATCAGTCAGCTAAACAAAAAGAGACCTACTTCTCTCTTCAGCAAACAAAGGTTCATACATTTAATCAGGTCAACTTTCTCTTAGCTGGCTTCTGTATGTTTAGTTGGCCAATTTTACAAATGATTCCATTTGCATGATATTTTTGTTCAGTTGAACTGAGAACTTGCTCAGTAGGGCAAAGCCAAAAAAATCATAACACAAGTCCCAAAAAAGGCAACAAGATGCTAGCTTGCAATGTGGTCAGTGATTGTAATGTGTTGTTAGTTAACCACTTACAGCAATTATCATGTCAGCTCTGCTTTCTCGTACACCATCAACATGTCTTGCAGTAGACGAGCCAGAAGCACATAATGCCTGTACAACCATTCAACAAGATTTGTTGGATGGAAACTGGGTAAGTGCAAAAGCAACCTTAAAGTGCATAAAATAACAGACGAAGTAATGTATTAGTTGAATTTATGAACTGAAAATAGTTGGACGAAATAACCATTTAGCTTTTTTGTGCTTTCTGCAAGCTTCAACAATGTTGAAAATCAAAATTTAAGTCATGCTTTGCGAAATCCATATTTTATATTTCTGAAAGAAAATGTAAATAACTTTGTCTCAAGTATGGTCTGCTTTCAAGCTTTAGAATTACAAACAAGTTGAATGAACAAACAACAGGTTTATAATTTTATTTGACTTGTAGATGTATTGCATTTATACTATTTTCAAGGCATTGTCAGGGACAACCATGTCTCCGCCTTATCCAGTGGAAAATCTTACTTGCCAGTGTTGTTTTTTGTCGACTTCCTAGTTCTTGCATGCATTCACATGCTTATGGCTAGGAATAAAAAAAAATATAATACAATCAAAATCATTATTTAGTCCTGTCCTACTGCTTGTCAAAAGGGAAAAAGTCACTAAAGCAGACTCTAAAGAAGATTTCAGAACACAACGTGGAGACTCTAAGCTGGTCCCAAAATCTGTGGCAAAGGAAGCTATATAGTGAAAGAACAATAAAACTAGAAAAAGAAGCATAACATAGAACCATGACAGGCAAATTTTGAGCAAATTAAAATAAATAATCATAAAAGAAACAGAAATTTTGTGTTGATAACAAAAGGCTAGTAAGTGAAGTAACAACTTTTGTTTTCAGGGAATAGGTAAATTAGAGAATGCACCTGGATTTCTAATACAAAAGTTCGAGACCCATCAACAGTTACAGCAACTGCAAGTCCAGCTAAGACCTCAGAATCAGAATAATGTTCCGTTAAAAAAATCTCACTAGGATTTGAGACTGCTTCAAGGCCAGATTCTGACATTTCAAATACCCCAAGCTGACAAAAAGAGAAGAAAACTTATTGTAGATGCTAAAATAGATCTTATTGTAATTCAGATGGTCACACAAGTATAATATCTATAACTATGAGGTCATAGATCATCTTCAATCATATAGAAAAATAAAGTCAAAGACTTTAAAAATATAACTAGCAACCCACAATAATAACTGCAATATTTATTATGAAGGTACCACCGGTCCACCAGGTCACAAGAGTGTATTTATTCATGGAACATATAGGTGTTGAGCATAGATGCATGAAAATTCTAGACTATCGTAATTCAATAATATAAAAAGGGTGTAAACTTTTGCAAGGTTGGTTAAGTGAACTAAATTTGAGTTATTAAAAGTCTCATGCTTTCGTTAAAAGTGAAAGCAACTAGAACATGCATATTATGCTAAGACAGAACTTCCCACTTTACAGTCCTCACAACATGGCCAGTAAATTCCTTAGTTACACTGGAGTGTTATCTCAAATTTGGCCTCAAACTTCTATTTAACTGCTCCCAGTTTCATGCTTAAGTGGCTATTTTGAATTGGTGTTAAAGATTCCAAAGGGGATTGGCAAGGGAGCCAATAGTCAAATATGGTATCTATTCCTCTATAATAATGAGATGACCCAAGATTCACTATTTATGCTATAGAAAATGCTACAGGAAATTAATGTAGCATTGTTACTATAGAACAAACATGAAATAAATTACTGTAGAATTATTACTGCAGCACAGGCGAGAACAGTAGCATTTTAACATTACTGTAGCATTATTACAGTAGTTCAGGCGAGATACTGCAACATTTAAAAATGTTACTGTACCACTTACAAAAATTGTATTTAAATACATAATTACTGTAGCAGAAATAAAAAATGAATGCTGTGCTTTGCATGTGGTGCAAACTAGTACTGAATTATTTGACTAACTACAATTCTATCTAGTGACAGGTTGATGAAATGCACTCTCCTTAAACTGTGAGAATTACTTGCACTGTGAATTTTTTTTAATAGTATCATATAATAAGCAACCATTGGTTCTTAATTCTTAATAAGATTGAAGCTGCCTTACATTATCATCCATTTTTATTAGGTTAGGACAAATTTTCAAATTCGATCTATTTAGAAACTTAATTGTCAAAAACGACTCATTTTGAAATTATTTACCAAATTCGACCCAGTTAGTTGGCTGAAACTGGGTCGAATTTGGCGAAAAAATTTACGAAACTTCATGGGATTTCAAGTCCCGTGAAGTTTAAGATCCCGCTAATACATATGATTATAGGTATATAAGTTCAAGGGACTTAAGTTTCGGGCAATTCCAGGAAGCTTGGCAGACGAACTCCTGATGTCGATCGATCAGTGGGTCCCCGCCGAACCCCCTCACTAGGACCCTCGGCAACCTCTCCCATTCTACTGAAACCCTCGTCGGATTGCAGTATTCATGGTCCCTATCGGCCCCCACCGACAAAGCCAGCTCCCACATCAGGTCGTTCACAGCCAAAGGCAAGATCTTATCCTCCCCGGATCTCGCCTCCGACTTGGCCCTCCCCTTCTCGCCTAATTAGCGCTAGTTCAGGATTAGCCCGATGATCTTCAACGGGACTAGGTTTAGGCCCATCGAGCGAAGGCCGAGGTGGAAGACGATGTTGCCGCGACGCTGTAGCTCACCCTCGATGGCAGGCCTAGTTTCGAGAAGTTCGCGTGTGGATCCGATGCCATGGGGTTCGGAGGGCTGGAGGGCCTGGTCATTGGAGGAAGAGGGCAGCTAGTTCGGGTTGTCAACGGCGTCATCATATTCCCAAGGCAGCGACGGAGGCGGCTGCTCAATGCCCGCGCGAGCCAAGGCGATAGACGACGGAAGGCGAAGGATAAGCTTCGGTCCGGAATGCCCAGCGACGGTTAATCCTATTATATTACAGGCGCGTGGAGAAGAGGTGGACGAGGCCGGAGGCGGACGAGAAGAGGACGAAGTCACCACCGTGAAAGTAAAGGACGACGGGGAGCCTAGGACGATGAGGTGGAATATATGCCTAAAACTTCACGGGACTTAAAGTCTCATGAAGTTGGCTGAATTGAAAATTTTCATAGGACTTCAAGTCCCGTAAACTTATATACCCCTAACCAAAGTTGTTAGCGGCCTTAAACTTCACGGGACTTAAAATCCCGTGAAGTTATGTAATTTTTTTCTTCAAAATCGACCCTGTTTCAGCCAACTGGCTGAAACTGGGTCGATTTTGGTAATTAATTTGGAAATAGGTCGGTTTTTACAATTATGTTTCTAAACAGGTTAGTTTTGAAAATTTGTCCATTAGGTAAAAGCTGAAGATGTTTAGCGAAAAAAAGAATAGGATCACAACTTTTCTCCATAAGATCAAGGCCAATGACTTAGATCTATAGTTTGTCTGCATATCCTTTTCTCTTAATAAAGGGAATGCAATCTCTGCTCTCTCATAAACTCATAGCTAGAACCGCAGGGTTTCTTCTCGATTGTATAAAAACTAAAAATAAATGAGTAGATCCATGGCAGGTCAATCTACGCTTGACAATTTATTTCATTGAAACCTATTAAAGGAAGGACATCATACTGGCAGATAATCACTAAACAAAAACATGTGTTCGACTTCATTTTTAAGGGGAAAAGGTGATGATGAACCTAACCCCCAAGAAATAATGAAATATATGCAAAAATTAGAATCTAAGATATTGAACGTGCCAGTTTTGGTACTTGTGTGCTGCTTTGTGAAAATCTTAGCACTGGTCACGGCTTGGCACGAACTTCTTACTAATAGGTCTTTACCATGAACTTGTAACAAAAATATTAATCAAGGAGAAGCTAAGCCTATCCAGGATGTATTAGATCTCTCAATTCTAATTAACCAACTAGCCTATGACATCTTGCACATCCTCGATTCCTATCAGTACTTCAGCTTTGACGGTGCTTTTCCTAACATCACCTAACACCTCAAATTACACATCAAGTAATCCTAAATGAAATATCCATATAATCATAATTATAAAGTCCTTAATAATCAAACCAATGTCATTTATGTTTCCACAACTAATAAAGCAGATCTTCAATTTAACATAAACACTTTATATATTGTTTTCCAACAATTTCAACTTGGTAAGCTTAAAGATTGTTTTTCAACTTTTTTTATGTTCAGATTTGAATTTTCCAATGCATGGACAATGGTAAGCAATTGAGATTGCTTGTCCTCTTTGCCAAGAGAATAGCAGGTTTGGTATATTTATGAAGAAGTTTGAAGTAAGTCTAGTATAGTGTTTTCAATACGCGAGGCGCAATGCGGGGCACAAAGTCAGTTTACACGCGCGCAATGCGATGCGTGCTTCCGAGCGAAGCGAGGCGCACTCCAGATCATAAAAATTTTGAAGATACACAAGATGCATAAAAAAAAAATATTTGTGAAATTTCACATAGAAAATGTCAATGACTCAAGATAAATAAAATATATACTACTAAATCACAAGATAAAGTTTTAATCATTGAAGCAAATCAAGTTGTCCATCAAAACAAAGCAACTAAGCAACTATAACACTTAAGGAGTTCACTAACATCAAACCAAAGCAAGCAATCTCATAAAACAAAGCAAACAAGTAGCAAAACAATAGCCTAATGACTCTAATCATCCTCATTAACATCATCATCCCCCTCAAGGGGAATATCCTCCTCTTCAGTGTCCTCGTCATTAAACCGGCTCCCTCCTCCTCAATGATAAACCAATACCACTCGAAGATCCTCAAAACCTACTAGTCGATCTTAGATATATAGCATCACCTTCTTCAGCTTCTATCGCATCTCCTACAACACCATATGTAAGGTTGTCCTCGCCCTCCACCAAGTCATTCTCTGCATTTTTCCTTCACCGAACTGTCCTAACCACTCATTACTTTCATCTATATTAGCCAACTTAATCGGATCAATAAAATCTCTGCAGTCAAATCTCTCCTTCAAAACTTGGTTGTACTTGCAGTAAACTAGATCTTGCAACCTCTTATGATCCAATCTATTCCTCTTCTTAGTGTATATCTGTAATTTATACAAATCAATCAAATCAATATCTATATCTATAAGGGAATTAAATATATTTTGTTGAATAAAATAAAACTAATCATACTTGCTCAAAAGTATTCTAATTTTTTCACAATCAAAGGAGCTACAAGTAAGGCTGAGGACTCTAACAGCAAGCTTCTGCAACTCTGGTGTTGATGCACCATAAGACTCCCACCAATCAGATGTCAATTTAAATAGAGTGTAATTAGTAGTGTATTTCCTGTAAAAAAAATCTAGTCAATTGAGGGTTAATATTATGCATATTTACCTGAAGACTTCTTTTTGTTTCTCTTAGCTATATCCATACCAAAATGACCCCCAATATACATGTATATATCCAACTACCTATCAACATTGTCTTGGTCTTGTGTAGGCACCATCTTCTCAATAACTTGACAAAGACCTTTCATAACTTCATCATCTCCTTGGATGTTTGGATAGTCATAGAAAAAATGCAGGATTAAGGTAATATATGCAGCATGCAAAGACCGATGAAGCTGATCTTGTCACCTCTTATCAATGATATCAAATATCTCAGAATATTTTGTTAAATCATCAACAAAAACTTTAGCAATAGTCTCCTTAGCTCTACCCATCGCCTCATAAATGAATCTCATAGCAAGCTTCTTGTCACCATCAACAAGTTTCAGAACACCAATAAGAGGAGTCGTAAGCTTAAGGATACGAACAATGCTGTTCCAGAAAGATGACATATGAGCTATCCTTTCAGCTGATTTGCCCTTTGAATCTCTTGCCCACTTACTTTGCCCCCATTTCTCCAAATTATACATCTTTTTGAGGTTATTTTTCTGTTGATGGATGCTTGACAAAGTCATAAATGACGTGGCAAATTATGTCACTGCCGGTCTAAGAAGCTCTCTGCTACTAGTTTCACCTCTCATCAGCTTCAAAACCCACGCATGTGAGTAGATGA